CAGTATTTATGACAGTCGCAGTGTCCCATGGTCATGGGATTACCTTTCTGAAATCAAAAATGAAGAAGCCGATTCACTTTACAACCATGTTACTAATTTAACAATTGTAGTGATTCACTTAACAACTGTGGCCAGAATGGTGGTACAATGGGGCAAAATAGACAGCTGTCTTGTTTAGCAATGGAAATTTTGGGCTCAACTTTGATCATAAATCAAGGACTACCTATAATGAGTGCACAGTAGGAAGATCTGAAGGCTCAAGTTGGTCGCTAAGAATCAAGCCAATTTGACACATAGTATATACCGTATTAGTATAGATTTTCTTCAGTGTAGTTTTTGTCTTTCTAAAATTATCAGTAGACCATTTGTGGGAGTTAGTTCAAATAACTCTGGTCTGAACATATGAAATCAATCTCCTTGTATATTGGTTTTCTGACTCATTGCATTCTTGGATCTATGCCATAAAATCTATGTTTCAGACCTTTAAAATTATGCAATGTTAAAGTCTGGTACTTATTGTAAGAGAAACTTAAGTTCATTGCCTTCTAAAGAACAAACATTATGACATTTCTCTGGATTTCTTTTTACAGCCTGACAGTATAAAAAATTCTCTAAGGGTAAAAGCTACCAAAACCATTGCTTTTTTACAATATTTGACCTTTTCTGCCCAAATTGCATAATCAGACCTAAGCAGAAGAAAAAAGTAGTAAAAATAATTCTATGAAAAATGCCAATAATAGAATAAAGAACAATAAAGCTGATTTGTCCTGGAATCGATATTTCAGTGTATCCTGAGCATGACTGTGAAGTCAGTCTTAGCCCTAAATCCACTCCTGTTCATATTTCATTAGACACTTAGCTAAAAACCATTTTAGATCAAATAAAAGCAACTGCATTCAAGAGAGCTGTTCTACAAGAACCAGTCAGGGCAATCTCAACACCTCTCAAATCAAGTGCTTTCCTCCTATTAGAGTACCAAAGCTTCACAGATATATTTGACATGACAGGATAAGGAACAGATACATGCTTTCTGAAATATAAATTCAAGGAATTGATTATACTGGTAATCCTCATTTAGCATTCACTTATTCAGCAACTGTTGAAAGCACTGAATAATAAGAGTTATTTACAGCACGTCCTTGTAGTCTTGTCTAGGGTAGCATCTCACGGTCACAATGATTGCCATTTGCCATCTTCACTACTAGTCTCTGACAAAAAAAATCAACTGAGATGTCAGCAGGAAGTAGCAAATGGCAATCAGCTGATAATGGGAGGCTACAATCATAGAGATTTCACCTAATGATGTCAACTGGGACTGCTAGAACTGCCATCTTATCTCAGCACATTCACATCATGTTGTGCTTTACAACTGCATTGTTTAGCAACCTAGTTAATCTATAGTCAAATGTTTCAGGTAGGATTAAATGGAAATGTTGAAATTCCCTCAATTCTAGTGTGTTCCTTTGACATAGTTGGCAGAGAATCATAAGGGACTCAGAATTTTTCACTACATTGTCTAATTGTTAATGTGTAATCCACTGAAGCATTCTATCGAGACAGGTATTGATTGACCCACATTCTCTATTGTCATTCCTAATTATGCATTTGTAAATATGAAATGTACCTGATGGCACAATTATAATCTGTTCACAAAATAAGATTCACTTTGGGTTGGTTTGAAGAGGTCTCTTCAGGTTGGTTGCTGTTGAATACTGGGATCTTCCAACCAAAACTAAACAAGAACTCTCTTATATGTTTCATTATTTCCTTGAGGCTATTATTTTTACTTGATGGTCAGACTAGATCTTGCCAATGTGGATATCTAGACACTAATTCTAAATTACAATTCTGTACGATGTACAAACAAAATGGGAGTTGGTATCACCAACGAATTCAACAAATAGGAAAACAAAATGTGTGATGTGCAACCAAAAAGTGATATCTGGATCCAAACACAGACTTTTTTGAAGTAATACAAGTAGTCCTGGACTTACAATCATAATTGAGCTTGGAAATTATTGTTGTAGGTCATGACAGTCATAAAGTGGGTTGCGGCAGTAATGAAGTGACTGTCACAATCATAAAGCAAACGCCATGTAAAAATGTCATGTAAAATGGTTATAAAGTGAACCCATTGTTTGCTATGGGCATTGTAAATCATGATCACATGACTGTGGGCAGGTTGCTGAGTGCCCAAAACCATGATCATGTGACTGTGGGGAGGAGCAGTCTGTCAGAACTTTACAACAGGGTTATAAGTACCTTTTGAGAAGGTCTGTCAAACATTGAAGAGTCACTAAGTGGACCGGTCATAAGTCAGGGACTACCCATATTCTACCACCCCTTCCTTTGCAAGGAATGGTTTTAAAAATATTTCCCAAATTGAGACTAAGTCTTGCTGTTCTTTTTCTCCACAGCTACCACCAATCCCATGCACTGGTCCTTCTCTCTCATTTGGTCCCTTCTGAACCACAATTTCAGCTGTTCTTTTCTTTAGCCCATATTGTGAGGGTGAGGTGTGATCATTAGTATAACTAGGACCATTTATGTATGTGCTCTTTGTTCAACAAAGTCTGAAGGTTTCTGAGGCTCTTAATTTGTCTCCTGAAGATTAAATTACAGGTAGTCCTTGAGTTGCAACCATTTGTCTAGTGACCATTCAAAGTTGCAATGGCACTGAAAAACATGGCTTAAAACCAGTCCTCTCACTTACAATCAACACAACATCCCCACAGTCACATGATCAATATTTGGGCAAATGACAGCTGGCATGTATAATGTATTTATGATGATGGGGGCATCCCAGCATCCTGTAATCACAATTTTCTAGCCAGCTTCTGGTAAGCAAAGTCAATAGGGGAAAACAGGTTTGCTTAATGACTGCATGATTCACATAATAACTGCAATGATTTGCTTAACAACCATGGTAAAAAAAAAGTTTGTACAATTGGGTGCAACTCACTTACAACTGTCTTATTTAACAACAGAAATAGTAGTCTCAATTGTGGTCGTCACTCAAGGACTACTTGTGCATCTGATTGTTAGCTCGGCTTTATTATTTCATTGAAATATAAGAAAATGGGGTATTTTATCAAAAAAACACAACTAAAAGAATCCTACATATATTATTTATTTGTGACAATTATTCAGTAATTTTTAGTATTTTAATAAAATGTATATTTTGGGAATAAAGGTGAATGAAGCTATAAATTTTCTCCCAAGCAAATTCTACTCAGAAAGCTTTATATTGCTCCAACATATCATCTTGGGAAAAATGGCCTTGACTAAGTATGGAATTTACAAAGAACTCTTTGTTAATAGAAAAAGGATTGATGTTTTAAATTCATGCTGACCAGAAATTCCAAGAGTGGAAGAAATCCCAACACAATTTGAGGTCACCAAGTCGAAGGAAACTGAATTAGTCAGTTTATATGGATTCTATCAATGGGTAGTTATACTGAGCTTTTAGGCTATTGGTTTTTTTCCCCAGCCTGGGAAGTGTGCGCTTCATTTCTCATATTTCTCAGCAATGTTTATGACAGCTGGAGAATCCTGGGAATAAAAGTCGACAAATGCTAGTATGCCTCCCTCAGTGTCTAAAGAAAGCTCTTTTTTTGAATTCAGGAAAAATCATATTCAGTCATCTAACTGAAGCATCACATTTCTTTGATTTTGGCTTCTGGAAAGGAACAGTATCTCAAGGGATACTATTTCGTAATTAGGGGAGTTGTGCCCTTCAAAACAAATTAGAAGGCACCACTTCTTTTTCTTGGTTGCTAGGATACCGAAACATTTAAGAAATGCACACCTATAGTAAAGATACAGATCCTATCAATGTGAAGGGTTAATTGTGAGTGATACTGTTGCCCATTACAACAAAAATTTTGTAAAAGTTCACAAAGTATCTTGAGGACACAACTTGTAAGAAATTATGCATATGTTCATCATGAAGCAGAACATAGACTCTCAGAGGTGTAGAACTGTGTTAAAGCATGTATTCATATTATTGCCACACTATTCATATTCCTACAGATAAGGAATAATGATTTAAACTGAAAAAGGAGAGATTCAACCTGGAAATAAGGATAAATTTTCTAACAGTGAGACCAATCAACCAATGGGACAGCTTGCCTTTGGAAGTTGTGGAAGCCTCATTACTGGAGGCTTGCAAGAAGAGACTGGACTGCCATCTGTCAGAAATGGTGTAGGGTCTCCTGCTTGGGCAGGGGTGGGGGGTGGACTAGTTGACCTACACGGTTCCTTCCAATTCTGTTAATCTGTTAATTTTCTTCACACTCCTAAGGAAGTGGTTGTTCTTCCATATAATAAATACATATGTGAAAGTTATCCCTCCCTAACTGTATCTAACTGTATATGCTCTATTTGAAGAATCTTCTCTTCTCCGTGAGGTAATTTGGGAAGAGCGCCTTCTGTCCCCTACAGGTCACTTGGAGGTACACATAAATGTACCCCACAAACGACCCTTTTAGATATGGACGAGTCAGCTTCCTGGGGACCCTACTACAGTATTAAGCAAGCGGCCATTCCGTCTGTTAGAAAGAATGTCTTGGACAGCCTCTATGGACCCTCCAGATGGAGCGATGGAGGACACGGTCCCAGCTACTTTTCCAGCCGATTCCGAGATTCGAAGTGGGGGAAGTGCCTTCTTTCTTGCAAGGATTTTTTTTTAAAAAAAGTTGCCTCCTTTGGGTTTGGTGCAGGAGGTTCTTCTCCACAGTGGAGTTTCTCTTCCCTCTTCAGTCTTTCCAGAACCTGCGGGAGCAAGCGGGCGCTGAGCGCGGGAGAATCCTCCGCCTTAGGAAACAACCTGCCCCGGGTTCTTAAAGCGAGCATTTCCACCATCCCAGCCGAACCCAGGTTACCCGGCCAACCCCACCTCATTGCCTCGTCCGGGAGACGGAGTGGCTGGTCCCAAAGAAGGAAATCGCCGCCCACTATCACTTTTCTCGCTGACGCGACAGAGCCGAGTTAGAACTTGGCCCAAGCAAGCGCCCCAGTTCGGGGAGTGAAAGCGCAACGCAGCGCCGCCCCTTCGCCCGACTCGCCTCGGGCTATCTCAGCGCACCAGCTGCAGCTCCAGCCTCTTTCCCTTCCGCGAGGGTCTGAAGTCAGGGCAGGGATCTGACTGCTGCTGCTGCTGCTGCTGCTCCTGTTGCTGTGCATCTGCAGTGCGAAGGGGAACCGCATGGCTACCGCCACCGCCTCGCTGAGAAGAGTCGCTCGGGAGCTTTTGACCACCCTGGGGGTGAGTCGAAGCAGCCACCGGGGCGTGCAGCGACTCAGGTACAGGGCGAGGGGAAGAGGGGTCGCCGGGCCGTGAGCTCTTTGGAAGTCCGAAGTTGAGGGGCAAAGAGAGGGGGCGAGGGCAAGTAGAAAGAGGGGGAAAAAGATGGAGATGGGGCGGTGGGGGGGAGAGAGATTTGGGGAAAATGTTGCTGGAATATTTTGAGCGGTATATTTGGGCAGGAGGGGCACCTGAGTAGATGTAAGAAAATAGTGCCAGACACGGGATAGAATGGCCAGAAAAGTGGGGTGAAACAACCTCTAGGAGCAGGAAGCAAACAGGGGTATCGAGGGAATGTCTGTTCAGGAAAAGGAAGAAATGTCCTGACCTATTTGGATAGCATCGGCAGTCTCTGGCAGCTGCCAAGAAGCTACTTAATTCAGTGCCAGGTTAGGAAATGCATTGTGTACAAAAAGAACAGCAAATAAAATACAGGAGTTTGAACTCAGTGCATCACCCTTTATCCAGGATTACAGAGAAATCCCTTTGCCCCTTTTATACAGTTGGTGGTAGATACTCTTCTAGTTGTCTTCAGGTGCTGGTGATTTCAGCGACACATCCAGTCAGTTCTCTTGGCAGCAATACAAAAGTAGCTTATCATCTGTTCTGGGATTTTTTTTCCCCCAGCGTCCCAATCTAGTATGCAATTTTGGATGCCCTGTTGGTCTTCCTTTCAAGGACTGAAATTCTACTTAAACTTTTTGACCAGCCAACTTTAGCTAAGTGCTGCCACCTAACTTGGCTGACTTATATTTAACCAAAATGGTGTTTATAATTGAGTCCCTGAGATATATAACTTCCCTGTTCATTTTTGCCTATGGTGTAACAAAAAGTTCCCTCCCTTCTATCCACATCTTACAACTGATAGTGATTAGCTAGAACTGTCTAAAATTGGATTCCTAATATATTATGGATTATAATATGTAAAGGCTAATGGTTCTAAATTTACCAGTGAAGAGAGAACAAAAAAAGTATCCATTTGGAGAAATAAGATGGAAAGTAGATAGAAAAGTCTATGTAAGAATATATTTTGCAGTCTTCCCATGACTGCAAATCTCTTCTTTCTCTTTCTCCCTCTTTCTTTCTCTCACTCTCTCCTCCAGATCCCCCCCTCCACTTTTTAAATACTTTTGCCTAATTTATTTCTATGGTCAGAGTAATGGATGTTGCTTTAAAATTCCCATGTGTATTAGCAAACAGCCAATTTTTTATAGCTGCAGGCAGGCAACTTGAAACAGTACATTCTTCATGCCCTTGAATTCTGCCTTCTTGTACATGCTGAATGTTTTAGGAACAGGTTGCTGCTGATTTCTCAAAGTGCTATTTGAAATTACACTATCACGAAGTAACAAAATCGTGTTGTTGTAGATGCAAGATAATTGCTTGTGTTGAGCTTGTGCTTCAGGTTAAGATACTGCTGGTAAAAAGCCCCTTGACTTCTGGCCCAAACAGCCGAAGGCATTTTATGAAGTCAGTGCAGGATGCTTATGTAACAGTTGTCAAGGCGTAGTCAAGATCATCCGAGATAGCTAAAGTATTATTTGTATCAGAGATTCCTAAACTTTCTCAGCTCATGGTCCCGAGTAATTTTTTCACAGCAACCTTAAGTTTGCAGTTCACATGGTATCTGACTGATGCCAACTCTCACTGTTATCACCAGACACCCCTGTAAATTTGCTGCAATGCTCTGGAGTGTCACAATGCATACTTCTTTGAGAACCACAGCTTTATAATCTAATTAAAATGATCCACTTTCTCTTCATCACAATTTGAACCACCACAAAAGTACAGTAGCCGAATTATAGGAGATACACAAATATGATTCAGAAACAGAAAACTGTCAAGGAAAAAATATGCAACTTTAATATTTGCCTCTGTGATGAAAATGGCGCATGGGTATCACACTAATTCTAATGAAATACTTGAAGGATAGAACGTAAACAAAATATTACCCTTAGATTACTCTAAGAAACCTTCCAGGAAGGGATTTTGTAAAATTTATTGGCCACTCTTAAAGAGTTATTGTGTGGCAAGATGGGTGGCCAATAAATTTTTCAAATGAATAGGTAAAGCTGACAATTTCTCACTAGATGTATACTTTGGTTATTTAAGTAGTATTCAGCCTTTTTAAATCTTAAGCCACTAATCACTCTTTCAAAGGGTGTGAGTTTCATCAAGACAGAAATGGAGCAGCTTCCTTTTTCCAAGAAGGATAATATACTGTCCCTACCAAGTTATGCTTCTGTGTTACATTTATTTTTGTGCCAGGTTTTAAGGACATAAAATCCTCCGTCGTGTTGAGTCTTAAGTGGAGCTGAAGCTATCTTTTTCACTGTGGGAACTGTTTTCAGTATAATGGCAAACCAAAACTGTAAACCAATAATCAGGGAGAGAGCAAGATAAGCCAGGCACAATTTTATGTTACTTTCCTTGGGCTTTTGAGCCCAGGCCAGTCCAGATTTCTGCGAAACGCTTTGCTAAGATATTCAATTCCTTTGCTGTGCCATAATTGACTGGAAAGAGCAGCAGTGCTTTTCCTCACTGGATTCTTTCCCAATTCAGCAGGGGTGTCACATTCCATCTTAACTTCTTGTTCAATCATGTTTTGCGGGACTACAAAACACTATTAGTTGTCCCATCTTGGGAGCCTCTCACAGTTTGGTTATAGATGAATGGCTATATAAATCTTTTAAATAAATAAATAGCTAACAATCACCCCACTCAAACAGAGACAGGCACAAATGCTTTTCTCCTTAAATTTCTTCTGTTTTCTGATATTCAAAATTGAAGGGGGAGTGAGTGAGGGGGGATGTATAGACACTCAAGAAGATTCTGCAACATAACTATAGCAGATACACCATGTCTATTAATCCAAGGAAATTTATATATGTATTTATGTATCTATTTTTACATTTCCATTTATTTTTATTTTATTTATTATGTACATTTCAAAAATTTACATGGTGCTGAAAAAAAGTAATTTTAAAGAGTCCATAATTTTTTAATACAATATATTGCCAAAATTCTAATCTCTTATAGCAACAATAAAATCCCACCATTCCTTGTCAAATAATGATGGATTATTTTGCTGTGTCCTACAACAAATTTTAAGCAAGGCTACAGACACTCAATCATATTATGTTATCTGCCCACAGGAGTTATGGTGTATATATTTCCATTGTTTACCGATGTCTACTTTCTCTGCTAGAAGTAGGCACTTAGTTTGTTTATTTTGCAGTTTCTCTGTTTATCATATATGAAATTAGATTGGGGAATGTTCAATTTTCTATTTAATCATGTATAAAATATTAAATATCTTTTTCTAAAAATATATGCAAAAATTAACATTAAATTTTGAAAGAAAGATAGGTATTTATCACTTGTTTTGTAATATTGAATTAATTACTAGAATTACTTATTAGAATGTGGCTTTTCTTCTACATTTGGCCATGCTTTTAGAACAGAATTCTTGTGGAAACTTAGACAAAAAGACTTAAAGAAAGAGGAGGCTTATATCTGATTGAATTTGTAAAACAATTGCAAAACAAAAAATTATGAAACTATACTGTACTGAACACTAAGTACTGTAATAAATTCCAGATTCTGGCATATTTTATTACCCACTCTTAATATCTCTAATATTCTCTAATTTTGGTATTTAGTGAATATGCAATGTGTGTTTTGTTTAGTACTGTTCTTTGACCCTTTTCTGAACTAATACTTTGTGTAGTATCCCACACACAAAAAATGTGAGACTAAGATAATAGTTGTGTCACATGACACAGAGAAGAAATGTTTTTATGATATTCCACGTAGCAGATTGCTATATCACAATAGTGTATTGAGCTATGTACTTTTAGGCAATGCAGGCATGCCATAATTAAAGGCTTTCATTTACATAACTTGTAAAAACCTTACCTTCCTTTGCTGTCAATGCTGACAGCAGCATCCATTCCTTTTAGCTACTTTACCAATTCCCCTTTAGCCCATTCAAATTGATCACATTTCCTGAGAACAATTGCTGTCACCTACTGTACCTAGAGTCCGATAAGAGTGTTATAATGCAATTGCCATGTTTCATGGATGGAGTTTTCCATATTTGCTTTCCCACAGTAGTTTCCTATTTTTCTTCTTATCACAAACATCTATTACAGAGGTTTCATTCTCGCGGCCCGCAGGCTAATTGTGGCCCGCAGGATGATATCCTGTGGCCCACACCATGATATGAAAGTATAATATTAGTGCGGGATTTGAGGATATTTTTTTAACAATGTTTTTTGTGGAATCCCTTATGCAGCCCAGCCTCACCCAGACTCTGCCTCCAGTGGCCCCCAGGTAAATTGAGTTTGAGACAGCTGATCTATTAGAATGGATTCTTCACTGGTAACTTCTAAGCAAGCGTATATTAATCTTGGAAGATGAGTATACTTCAGTTCCCAGAATTCCTCAGCTAGCCTTTCTGACTGAGGTATTCTGTGAGTTGAAGTCATTGTTGAAGTATTCCCCGTTAGGAGAATGAGTGCACTCAGGGAAACATAGTGAGAGTGATGTTGAATAACACACGACCAGCATACAGATACACTGAATAGTAAAATGTAGGTTTTACTTCCAGTAAACGGGTAAACAAAGTCCAACAACCAGTCAAATCATACACGATTAAAGCAGTTAGTATCAGTCCAGGGATAATCCAAAAACGAAGTCAATTATCATAAAGTTCAGTAAACGGAGTTTGCTAACAGTTGCAAGACTCACAATAATCCAAGCAGAACGACAATCAGGCAATACAGCAAAACAGGAAATGCAAGGAGAAAAAGAAACCAGGTTTCTGACTCCATCTTATGGCCATTGAAGGAACCTCAGGCAATCACAATTACAGCATTCTCTTAAAGATACAGTATTAAATTACTATCCTGGTTTATATATTGCCAACCCAACTGTTAGGTGACCATCATTCCTAACATTCTCCCCTTTGGGTAGGATATAATATATAAAACCTTACAGTTTAAGTCCATATTTATCACAGCAAGCCTTATGTTTTACAGTGCCTTGGGCTTTCATAAAATGATCTGCAATGTTATTTTCTGACATGCAGGACTCCAGTGTAATCATTTTACTCTGAACACATTTTCTCACATTTAGATATCTTAGATCAGTGTGTTTTGATCTTGTCTTTACAGTGAGATTGGAAGCCATCTGAATTGCTGATTGGGTGTCTTCGTGTACAATAGGTTCATTTATATTAATTCCCATATCTATCAATAGTTGTTTATAACAAACTAAATCCATACATAATAGAGACAAACATGAGAATTCAGCCTCCATTGTTGATAAACTTAGATGTTTTTGTTGAATAGACCACCATCCAATTAACACCTTTCCTAATAATACTACAGTACCTGACATTGATTTACATGTAGATATGTCTGTAGCGAAATTTGCATCAGCATATGCAGTTAAACTTAGTTCATCCTTAGGCTCCAAATATAAGGCATAATGCATTGTTCGTTTAAGATATCTCAACACAGCTTAGCAACTTGCCAGTGCCTTTGAGTAGGCTCAGCGTTTAAACCTGGCTAATTGGTTAACACTATATGTTATATCTGGCCTAGACCAATTACTAAGATAAGATAAGCTACCAATCAAGGTAGCTTGAATAAGTATCTTTATCAAAAACAGGACTTTGCACATCACTATGGCTAAACTCCTGGCTTATTGGTGTTTTAGCCGGTTTACAAAGTTCCATTTTAAAATTCTTTAGTAACTGATTAATTTTATCTGCCTGTGAGATTTTGTATCCTCCCCTAGTTTTATCTATTTTTAAACCAAGATACTGTTTAATCTCTCCTAAATGTTTTAAATTTCTTCTCTAACAGTGAAATAATCTCAGTAGCTTCTTGCTCAGTCTTAGTGATTAATGCTATGTCATCAGTGAACAATAGCGACAATGAAATTACACCATCACCTTCCTTTTTGAATAAACATGGATCAGCCATGCCAGCTACAAAATCTATCTTATTTAATTCCTTTACTATGCACTGGTTCCATTCATATCTTGATTGCTTTAAGCCATAAAGACTCTTTTTTAATCTCCAGCAATCAGTTTTATTATCAGTTTTTATTCCTAAAGGCTTCTTTAAATATATAGTATGTTGTAACGGTGCATGAAGATATGCCGTCTCCACATCTAAATGGTTTATTGTGTATTTATTTTTAGCTGCCCACACTAATGCTGCTCAAAATGTGGTAGCCTTCAGACTAGGTGCAAAAACCTCATCATAGTCGTTGGCTGACTAATCGAACCCTTGTGCTACTAACCAGGCTTTATGGGTAACAGTCCTATCTACATCTGTCTTAATTTTATAAATCCACTTACACCCTATGGCATGCTTACCTGGTGGTAACCTGACATTTTCATATACCTCCAACCTTTGTAAAGATTTCAGTTCCTTATCCATTGCTTCCTGCCAAGCAGCCTTATCCTTAGCAGTTTCAGTTCATTATAGTTACTAGGAACTGTATTTACTTGGCATACTATACTTGCCTGATATCTGTCTGGTGGTCGTATTATACGGGTTGAACGTCTAGGCAACTCAGGGCTAACTGTTGGACTCTCCTGTTCTACCTGCTCCTGTTCTTCTACCTCTTCCTGTGCCTGTTCTTCTACTTTAATGGTTACTGATGGTTTAACTATCTCATCATTAGGGACTACTTGGGTGGCGATAACAACATCATTGTTGGATTCCTGTTCTAGTTTATTCCATCCAATGTGTTCAAGAAATTTAGCACTAGCGCTACAGTAAATATTAGTTGTGCCTTGATCCCAAAATCTAAATGATCTATGGTTGGCCTCATAACCTACGAAAAATAATTTCCTAGCTCTATGTTGCCCTTTCAGTCTTACTTGTGAGGGAATATGCACCCATGCTGGAACTCCAAATGTGTACAGATAACTTAAATTTGGTTTTCTGCCATGCCAACAAGTGAATGGCAATTCACCAGTTGTTTAACATATGGATGCAACACATTATGGCTTCACCCCACAGTGTTTCAGGCAAACCTGAATCGGATAACATAGTGCGAGACATGGCTTGCCCTCTTCATTCTATAAACGAGTTATGTTGTGGCCTGTAAGGTGCAGAACGCTTATGCTCGATACCAGCCAATTTTAACATTGTTTGGAATCTACTGTTAATAAACTCAGTCCTGTTATCTGTAACTACAGTAATTACCTTATGTTTCATTTTTCTTTCTGCAAACCTTAGCCAATTAAAGAAATGTTGGAATGTTTCTGTTTTGTTTTTCGTTAAATAGCAGAAACCATAACGTGAGTAATGATCCATTCTACTCAAAACATAGCAGGCACCTCCCAAACTGGGTTTCTTAGGACCAATTATGTCAGCAAACACAACCTCTAAGGGTTCTTTGGTCTTAAAACCATTTAGTCTGTTTGCAGGAGTAACCTTGCTTTTCTCCTGGTTACATGCATTACAGTTTAAGTACTTGCTACAGGGTTTTAACTTTACTCCCTCTGACAATTTAACAGTTTGTTTCAGCATTATGAAATTAATTATGCAGTAAATGTATACATTCGTCATGTGGCTTAACATTGTTATAAACCAAGTTAGCCACCTGCAACTGGTCATAATGTATCACATATAAATCATTCTCTAAAGTAGCAGTAACACTTTTACCCTCTTTCTTTATTATACAGTTATCTCCCCTAAAGGTTACTACATAACCAATATTAACTAAAGCCCTTACTGATTACAAATTAAATTTCAGTTTAGGTACATATAACATAGTTAAATGCTCATTTATACATGAACAATATGCAGTACCTTCACCAGATGCTTTCATCTTCCATCTGTTTTCCAATGATACATGTTGCTTGCTTGTAGACATTTTTTCAAACCTCTCTCTATTTCTAGTAACACACTGCGATGCTCCACTATGAACTACCCACAAACCATGGTTTACAGTTGAATTGCCAGACATAGCTAAATTAACATTCTTCTTAGCCTTCTGGTGATTACCAGTATTCTGTTGTTTTCCCTTCTTAGAGAATCTAGCTTTATGACCCTTATCCCCACAAGAAAAACATTTTCCAACAGTATAGGCAATTGAAGACAAATCCTCTTCTTGTGGTTGTTTCTCTCTCAGTTGGTCTCTTTCCAGTCTTCTTGCCTCTTCTAACAATCGTCCAGTTATGTCAGTCAATGTCGGTTCATTTCTGGCCAGGACTTCCAGTGAAGATGCGTAATCATCATAACTTTCATCCAATGAGGAAAGAATGATGTAAACCTGATGCAGCTCTGAAAAAATCAGTTCCTTTTCATGTGGCTCTTGAAAAATTATTTTCATGAAGTTCAAATGAGCTAACATATCTCCACCTTTTAGAAGACGTGCTCTAAACAGTTTACATGTAAGATGTATGTGTGCACCTACACTGTCATGAACATAAATCCTCTTCAAATTCTCCCAACACCTAGCAGCAGACTCTTCTCCATGAATATGGACTAGCTGCTGGTCACTCAGTGTTAGTCCAATTATACAAAGAGCTCGTTCATTGTTCTGTTTGAAGTCAGCTAACTTTTTGGCATCGTCCTCATTATTTGGATCCCAAGCATTTACATCCGGTGGATCTTGAACTGCAGCCCATAACCCTTCCCTATGTAGAAATAGACTACACTTCATAGACCAGGAAACATAGTTTGTTCCATCCAACCAGGTTATCAGTGATAGACTTGTTGATGGGTCTTGTGCCATCTTTACCAGGACAGTAACCCACAATTAAACAGTAAACAACTCTCTGTATACGGTACTGTGTATTCATACTAACTCTCAGTTATCTGAGCCTGGTATGGCCTGGGCCCATAACCAGTGTTGAGGTAATTCCCCATTAGGAGAATGAGTGCATACAGGGAGACGTAGTGAGAGTGATGTTGAATAACACACGACCAGCATACAGATACACTGAATAGTAAAATGTAGGTTTTACTTCCAGTAACAGGTAAACAAAGTCCAACAACCAGTCCAAATCATACATGGTTAAAGCAGTTAGTATCAATCCAGGGATAATCCAAAAACGAAGTCAAGTATCATAAACAAAGTTCAGTAAATGGAGTTTGCTAACAGTTGCAAGACTCACAATAATCCAAGCAGAACGACAACCAGGCAATACGGCAAAACAAGAAATGCAAGGAGAAAAAGAAACCAGGTTTCTGGCTCCATCTTATGGCCATTGGAGGAACCTCAGGCAATCACAATTATAGCATTCTCTTAAAGATACAGTATTAAATTACTATCCTGGTTTATATATTGCTGATCCTAACAGTCATCCTAAAGGTTGAGAAATTCTGTTTTAAGCTATCTCTCTTGAAAGGTCTTGCTTGTGAACCATGTAAGAACACATAATAGGTATATTCAAGAACCTTTTCTCTCTAGTGTTGCTACCATGACTTGCTGGAACGGTGTTAAGCTCTCCTGGCTGATTAACAAAGCACATTTCCCCCATTGGTGGGAGAATATTTTGAGGATCCTAATTAGCTGAGGAAAATTCAGTGGCATGTGGTTTTATAGGAATCTAGAAATGGCTCGTCAACCTGCACTGTTTTACCAAAAAGAAAGGGGAAATATGACAAAGTTTATACCCACAGTTCTGTGTCAACTTAAACAGGAACATCTTGATTGATTTTTCCTGATTGGAATAAAGCTGTTTAAATAACAAGATAAGGATAAAGTAAGACGGACGGAATCACAGTATTCTAGTACCAATGTTAACTGCCAGAATTTTATCTAGTTCTGTTGATCTTGTGCAATAGTCTTTGTTGTCTTCCCAGGGTGAATGATTTTGCTGCTTATAACTTCTAGTTCTTTCTTGCTGCTTTTACAGTGCTCTACCACTTGATATTCCCCCTGCCACACCTATAACAAAAAAAAGCTATCTGAATGGGCCTTCAGACATCCCACTTATTTCCAAAACTGTGGATCAGTGCCTAGAGGAAACCACCCACCGGTATCCAGAAAGAGAAGCCTTGGTATTCTTAACTGAAGGGATCCGAAAAACTTTTTCTCAATTTAAGCATGATGTACGTAACTGTTACAGATTCTGTACTGCTGGTGTTGACAGTTATTTTTCAGTAAACACTGTATGTAAATAAAACAATTAAAAAGGATAGAAGGGGTAAATAAAAGTAACAGGTTAACTGGCTGTATTTTAAAGTCAAATGGACAATAAATAAATAAAAATAAAATAAACTAATTAGAAAAGCTATCCACACTGCTAGAGAAATATATTTTAAAATGTCGTAGAGATTCTGGCCTTTGAAAACTGCAGTCTGAAATGTTGTCCTAATATGTTATCCAATAATTTCTGCTCCCCCATCCAACTCCCCTCCCACCAGTACAATCCAGCAGAATGGACACACAGCAGGTCAGGACACAACAGCATCTGTCAGGACCGAAACAGTTACCATTTCTGTTGTGACACCTGCCCTCTGGAATAGTATCCTCCCAGAAATCTGTAGGGTTCCCACCTACAGCTTTAGTAGAAGGTGTTAAAAACATGGCTCTGCCCCCATTCCTAGAGTTAAAATGGGTGCTGAGCAAACATTGTAGTTTTATCGGTTTGGAGCATGTTTGGTTGTTTCACTCTTCCGGACATGCGTCCTTTTTGATTGCTTTATTTTATTTTCCTTTGTATATACTGTAAACCACTCAGAGTCTTTGGGGGAATCAAATAGTACCTAAAGTGAAAGATATAAATCCATATCAGGGATAACAAGGTTTAGAACTGAAAACAGAACGTGGAAGTAAACCTTGATGAGACCTTGATTAAAATAAGGCTCTTATTGTATCTATTAAATGCCCAAATTAATATTTCAGTTCCTAATTCTTAATTCTGTCAGAGATCTAAACACTGTGGTAAAAGCTCTGGTGTGACCTTAGCTCTGGTGTGATCCATCTTCCTTGGCTTGCATGTTTTCTATCTGAACATGGATCCAAGAACATTTTCTGGCATTCAGAAATGTAAGAACGCTGGAGATTTCCATTCACTCATATTTTCAAACTTGGAGTAGGAATGCAGGATTAACTGCAATTTCTTTTCTTTAAACACTTACAGTAAAGTGTTTAAACACTTACTTAATTGCATAGCACAGAGTATTCATTTCATATATTCTATTATTCCTTACCTTTGGAGTTTAGTTTGCTGAGATTCCTGTTCTTTTTAAAATTGCAGGTGGAGCAAGCTGCCATCGGGCTTCTGGCCCTTGGTTTGAAAAGGGGTGACCGGTTAGGAATGTGGGGTCCTAACAAGTATGAATGGGTCCTCATGCAATTCGCTACTGCTCAGGCAGGGATCATTCTGGTGAGTTCATCTCTTTTGTAAGCAGTTAGCGGAGGGTGGGAGGTTAAGGGAGGGCTCTGCATAAGGTTGTCATACCAGAGAAGGGACCATGTGGCTCAAAATAATATTCATTATGCATCAGGTATAATTTTGCATAAGGTTTGGAGATCATTGCGCTTGCTGCATAGCTGAAAACAATCCAGCTTCCTACATTGTAGGAATTGTAGAATCCTGTCATCTGAAGAGGTGTTTTTTGACCAATGTACACTGCTTCCCAAAAAAGAGCAATTTAAACAGCTTGCCACAGCACACGTTGGCCCTGATCATTTATCAAGAGTAGGAACACACAATGAACTCTGTTCACGTTCAGCAGGAAAGCAATCTCTACCCATCTTTATTCTACGCAATAAAAGTCAGCATTTTTTGACTTTTGATAGCTTGCCGGTGCCAGTGCTGTCCAGATGGCTTGGTGCACCATTTCATTCTAGGCAAATCCCTTCCCTCTTGCTGCCTATTGTGCCCTCTGGCAAGGAACCTCCTTTCCTCTGGTTATTGCTTGCTGCCTTCTATGGCCTTGCGATTTATTGACTTTTGCAGTTTACTGATACAGCCATAAAGCAATTTCTCCACGCCCCCTAAGGTTAAAATGACTTCTGACTTCTAGCCTTTTCACTGTGGTGTCTTGGGCAAGATGTCAGATGCAACTGACAGTCAAAGTCCTGTTCCTGTTTTTACAGGGATTGTGCATGCAACTCGAAAAGAAGAGGGAGAGTTTTCCTCACATGGCCATGGCTACCACACACACACACACAAACACACACCCATTCCTTGCTGATACCCTTCTCCTAGCCTAAGAAATAGGGAACATGGTAAAACTATGATGTTTTCTTCTGCTTCTTTTTAAAGCTAATCCAGAAGGGATAAAGCAGCAATGTACTCTACCAATTGAGGGCTATGGTAGATGAGGTCCAGGTAGGCTAAAGCAGAAGAAGCAGTTGAAGTTTGGAAAAAGATTCCTTAAACTGCTTTGCTTCTAACCATTCACATCTTGTTTACAAGCAACTGAAGTCCTAAAACTAATTTCATGTATGTAATTTATTGTGTTTTTTGAGCTTCTTCCTTGCTATTGATTAACATCAGGGGTGGGATTCTACCAGTTCGCACCTATTCGCTAGAACCGGTTGTTAACATTCTAAGCAGTTTGGAGAACCGGTTGTTAGAAGAAATTGCTGGCGTAATCCTGTAAGGAAGGCAGGAAGGAAACATTCTGGTGTTGCTTACAGAAACTGCCTATCCATTAACCCTTGTTACATTCTTGGCAGGACTAGATTTCCTGTCTCAGGAACTTCTCTGAAGTTTTTTTCCCTTCCTTTGCTGGTACTTTGCTTGTGTGGAGTGACCATTCAAAGTTACAATGGCACTGAAAAAAGTGACTTATGACCATTTTTCACACTTACGACTGTTGCAGCATCCCTACAGTCATGAGAGGCCAGGCGAGGAGATGCGTGCCTCGATGTGAGTGAGATTGAGTTGGCCACACTCAGCCAATAACATGATCACCAAGCCATGTCCACCAACTAAGACATGCCCACAGAACCGGTTGTTAAAAACTTTTGAATCCCACCCCTGATTAACATTGTGAAAGACAAAACCAGGATTGTAATATGCTTGCGGCAGATTGGTTTACATCAATAAATGGTCAAGCAGAAAAGAGTATAACATTGCATTGAAAAAAACCATGATTTTTGTATTACTTGTGTACTCTAGTAACATATTTTTAAAATGTTCTACATCTTTCACCAACCTTGGGATAAAATTGGCAAGAATGCTTGCGTTGTAGAAAACAGTTGCTTTAAGTTGCAAACGATGGAGATTGTGAAGCTATATAATGTGGACAAGAGGACCACAGATTTGAAAATGATGCTCTTTCTATTCGCTCAGTTTTACTGACTATATTAGAACAGACACTACAGAGGACTTGCTTCATAGGAATATAGAATGTAAGGGTTCGAAAGAACTTCAGATATCACTAAGTGCAGGATCATCTTTTCCTCCTTTTCCTCCTTCTCCTCCTGCTCCACCACCACCACCATATATTATGGTGAAATTTCCCTGATGGGAAGCATAACTAGAGCAATAATACATATAGATAAAAGCAAAAGATTCCCAAATGAGAAGAAAAATACTTTAAAATGCACAGGATGCATGTTGTTAATTTACCTCCATGATTCTCCAAAGTCAACATTACCATAAGATGTTTGACCTTTTGCCTTTGTTAATACTGGGCTGCATGAAGAACTGTACTTCAGGCTGCTTGGCTTGCTCTGGATCAAGGCCCAGGGAACCAATTTGCATTTATTTTATTTATTCTGAACTGGCAATCTGGGTCTTACTTAGTTCCTTATAAGTCTTCACAGCAGACTGATTTTACTATCGCTGCATTTCCAGGTATCTGTGAACCCAGCATATCAATCCCACGAGCTGGAGTTTGTCCTGAGGAAGGTATGAAAGACCTGTTACATCATCTCTGCTTAATTTTACCTCTACATTTTTGATAGAATTTTCTGTTCTGAAAATAGAATTCTTGAGATAATAGTGAAGTATGGGGGAAAGGACAGGGGGGAAAAAAACCTATCCCTATCATGTTAGAGAAATTGAAATATTTGAAACGTTTTTGTTAGGTGGTGGGAAAGACATCCTTCTACCTTCTATACCATAGCACTCACCATGAATGATTGTAGAGTTGGCAATAATTAATCAGGATGCTTAAGTTTTATATACCCATTTTATAAGTAGAGCAGTTATGAATGTTAGGTGCCGGAAGTATTCAACAGAGAGCAGTGTCACACAGTTTGCTTATGAATGTCTGGAACACCTAGTTTAACGCTTCTCTGCTCAACTAAGAGTTCCAACTAAGAGGTTCTTTTATTCTTATTTTTTGTGACAGTTAACTATAAGCAAAGAATGATCTTATCTTGGCATATGCTAGAGCTCTGATGCCAGTCCACAGAGAAAATCTAGTGGCTCTCCATGGAAAATCACTGTAATTGTTTGATGTAGAAAAATAAGGAGCATCAAACAATAAAAGCGTAGCATTGAAATGTAAAGCAGTCTCTATTGTATAAAGTGTTAATGTTTGCTGTTCCATGTGTAATCAGGGAGCCAAAATAAACTCTGGTGTTTAACAGGGGAGTCAGGTGCTTTTCAGCATTTCCTAATAATATACATCCTAGCTGGGCAACTCATGACCCTTGATCACAAAAGTATAGCTGATGGAGTCAGGTGACATGACACCAATTTTTCCCACCAGTCAGTTGATATGGACAGCTTGTTTCCTGCTTCAGTTAGACTACCACCGTACAGAGAGCCCAGTCCTAACTATGCCATTCAACTTTCTTATCCTTAATAATGTGGGATTAAAACTGTTAAATGGTTTATAAATAAAATTAATCCTGCTAGGATTAAGAATCCTTTGGGACTTGCCTGTCTTGTTTAGTTTTCCAACTAAATGGCTGTGATCCATAGCTCACTCATAATTTAAAATAGCATTTTAATGGCAAGCATCTCTGAATTTCGCCCAATGTCCACAGCATTATCCCTATCCCAGTAGGCTGGAGGGTGTGTGTTGCAGGGCTGCCGTTTCAGCTTCATAATTACATTCATTTTTTTTGTTTAGAGCCCCCTCCTTTGTTCCTATTCCTTGTGGTTTGTTTGCTAACAATTCCAATGGCTATCTGCCAGTCCTGCATTCTCGGTATTGAAAAATAAGAAGCACAAATCATGTAAGACTTGAAATGTACATTGGATTTGACAGGTTCTGTGATTATTTCTACTTCTGTGATGCTCGAGGAAAGCAATGGAACTACCAACATATTCCAATGTGGCTAACGCAAAAATTGCTGTTACTTTTGTAGTCCAAAAACTACTTTTATATTCTAATATCTTTTGCAGAGAGCTAACCTGCTGACCAATTTAATTGTGGGAGGTTCCAATCCTCTGATCTTTCACTATAAGGTTACATAGCAGTTAATTTCATTGACTTCATTGGGGCATATTTCAAATGAACCCATGAGTATTTAGGACAAAATATATATAGACACATTGGATAGTGAGTTCCATTCAAGGAAGACTGGCTCTATTCTGGAGGCAAAAGAGATCCTTCCTGACCATGCCAAATCTCTAAGAATTCCTCAGATTTACATTTAGAGGGAAGAAACAACAACCAGCATTTGGGATGGAATGGAAATGTACAGACATTAAATTCATATAGTTTGCATTTAAGGTGGTTTGTTTGCAACAGAATACATCCAATGCACTAGAGTGAAAAGTGTTGTCTACACACAGTCTCAAATGAGACTGATCCTATTAGTCTGAATAATTACTTCTGAGTAAATTTCCATAGAGCCCAATTCTAGAAGTAAAATTTTATTGGATGATGGAAGCTTCTTCTTTTAATACATATAACAGTAATGGTTTCTTCTGGCCAGAGTTTTCCTTGACTCATGAACTAAGTATTTTGTGCACTTTAGTCTATAGCATACACCATGACTGCTTTTTATATGGACCAGTCTGAATTTGGTGAAGTACCTCCTGCATTTCAGGGGATTCCACTCCATGAACTATATGATTCTTCTCAATCAATAGTTCTCTATTTTAATTAATATTATAATTAATATTTCAAAAAAATGGTCTTGCCCAGTAAATCAAACGCAGATCTATCCAAGATAGTAGTCTACATTGAGACGCAGCTGCTCTCCACTGTTTCTACTGAAAGTTGCCACAAACTGAACTTTACCAATCACTGAACCATGACCTACAATGTCAAATCCAGGGAGACACTGATGAGTGTAGAATATTAAGGTTCTGTGTAACTTTCTTACAATTTAGTATGTGAACACTGTACTCCAGTGACTCTTTCTTCACTGTTTTCTGTACACTGTGATTCTGTTGTATAGGCTGATTTAAAAGCTTTTTTCTTTCTTATGTGTATTTCTGTAGGTTGGTTGCAAAGCACTTGTGTTCCCTACCCAATTTAAAACTCAGAAATACTATGAGATCTTGAAAAATGTATGCCCAGAATTGGAACATACTAATCCAGGAGCACTGAAGAACAAGAAGTAAGTTTATATTGTACCTTAGAGTGTTATTCCATTCCAGGATTTAGCAGTCTGATGGAAATTAATGTTGCCAGAGCATGGGCAGTTGTGTACTATCAAGCTACAAGCAGTTCTGCCTCTGGTTTGCATAGTGTATCATGCAAGTCAGAAACCCAGGCTTGTTTCAAGTGAGAGAAAACCTATACCATGTCTTCCTTGTTTATGAAGCATTAGTTCAGGACATTGAAAACTTTTGATTGGATTCACACATGGTGCTAAACTATAATGTATCTTTATGTGATCATTGGTTTTGCTTTAATGGCCTAGTCTATTGTGTGATCCTAGTCTTTAACTTTGCATTTAACTTAACCATGGATCTCCACAGGATCAGCTTCAGTATTTATGTGAATATGCAGTATGTTCTTTCTCTTTTCAATTTAATTATGATTGAAATTTCATTGAATTCAATTTAATTATGATT